GTAGCTTTAAAAAATCGTACTTATGTGTACGAAAAGTACTAAGGAAATTCGTACCTATTGGTACGAAAAGTACTTTATGGTACTAAAGTTAGTTCAATTTGGATTATGCTTTAAAGGATAGAGCTGAAAACCTGAAATTTGGAATTAAGATTACTGTTGAAGATTGATCTATAGAGACATCTTTGGAAATGCGTTTTTATGTGTACGAAAAGTACTAAACGGTACTACTAGAATGGAGGGAGCTGGAAACCAAAAATTTGGAATAATGGCTGCTGTTGGAATATAGAATTGAGATATGGAAGCATAGTACTTATGTGTACTAAATGATACTATATTTGGTACAACTTGATTATGTGTAAACGGATAGAGCTGGACTCCAGAATTTAGGAATTAAAATTACCTTATGGATGTAGGATTGACGTAGTTTAGGAAATTACACAAAAAGTACTAAATGGTATATGATGATTTATTTACAAATTGTTTTTGTGTGAAGAGATAGGGCTGAAATTTCATTTAGATTTTAGTGAACGGATAGACATTGAAAACATAAATTTGGAACGAAAATGGCCGAATTGTAGTAATATTGGAATTTCGTACGAGAAGCACAAATGGTACTAAATATGGTCCAATTCGTTTTGTGTGAGCGGGAATCATAACATTTGGAGTTATAATTAAGGTGGGAGTGTAAGTTTACGAAAACTAATAAGAGGTACTAAATTTGGTACAATTTAGATGTTGTTGAAAAGTGCTAAATGGAACTTAATGTGGAAATTGTACGTATTTGCTAAAATATAAAATAATTTGAATGTTGATATTTTTTAAAACTGTGTAATGGAAATAAGAACAAAATTTCAGAAAATAGTGCTTATATGTATGAAGGTAATAAACATGATATTAGATGTAGAAAAAAGGTGGAATTCAGAACTATAGTACAATATATAAAGTATAAATTTTTGTATTCCCTTTCTGCATACTAAGTAGCGGACACTTTGCTAGTATATTTATATAAAAAACATACAATAATATTTACTTAAATGTAGTAAAAACAAACGAAAATATTGTTATAGAATCTGAAACTGAAATTCAAGAAATTCAACATTTTATTGTTTTCACGTAGTCATAAAGGGAACTGTAATAAAATATTAAAACCTTTTTAAAATTCAGGAAAAGTTTGAATAGTTAAAGCACTGATCAAGGTTTTAAAAATATAGATGACTAAAAATGACAAATTTTAGAAATATACGACTTATAGAGGACGTACATTTTATAGATGACAGTCAGTTAAAACACATGATTGTCCTTTAAAAAAAGAGGACGTATGGTCACCTTACATTGCAAAACTTAGATCATTAAGCCCGACTTAAAAATGAGTCTATATGTATATGTGACCCGAAATTCACGACATTATATGTACTAATGGAAATCTGGGCAGATAGTAACCATATATTATGATAGCCGAATATAGACATACATTTTATGTGAAAAAATAACCAGATTTTCATTCTTTTGAGTATAGGGTCGGCTTTGAATTTCTGGTCTTTTGTTTATGTGCGTGGTAGTTGTGTCTGCTTTAATGTAAAAAAATGGGTAAGAACAGGTTGATACAAACTATATTTGGGTTTAATTCGTTTGAATGTTTGAATATATTAAAACAAACCTTCTCCTGTATAATTTCAATTTGGGGGTTACGTTTTTGGGCGAATATGGCTCGATATAATGTAATATGTTTTGTAAACTTAAAAAAATCAGAATCTATTAGCCGTAATGTTTTCGATTTTAAAATAGCATCAAAAATTTATATATTTAGGAAGATTCACAAATTGCAGTAATAAACATATAAATATTGCAATATGAAACATTGAGAATTCATTATTTGTATAAGAATATACATAGTAATTAACGACTTTTTAATAATACTGCCTTAAAAAATGAAAAGTTTGAAATGAAATGAAAATATTACAAAAACATCTGTAAAAATACAAAAAACCGTGCATCTAAATAAGCTTATTAGCTGGAGATTGGATCAAAGCCGGTGATGTACAATTCATATCGAAAACGCCATTGCCGAATGTGCCCCGATATTAAAAAATGCCCCAGTCTCCCTATCTCTCTACATAGGGAATATCGCAAACAATTTTGATTAGTTCAAGATTCTTGAAGGTTCGGGAATAGAACAATCTATATTTATATATCTTACATAAATTTTTAAGTATTATATATAAACATTTTTGAATGATGGTGTGAAATATTTAAGAAAAAAATTAATTTTTTCTTGAAGTCATCTGTTTTTATTTCCGAAATGTGATCGCCTTACCACATACACTTCGGTACGGGAAGAATGTGGCTCTTCGAAATATTGGTTTTTAGACTTCATGTTTCTTTGAACCAAATGCATTTCAGACAATTTTGTGTAAACATTTTGAAAATTTTTAAAACTAATAGAAAGCTTGATTTGATCCAAAATATGCACATCGTAATTTCACCAAACCTTGATTAAATCCGAAAATGGGAGCAATCCGTCCTCTCCTTCTTACCACCTCCCCCACAAAATTGTCGTAACTACGATTAAAACCAAACTTTGCATAACCTAATATTTGAACCAAGCATATATAATGTTTGGCAGATGAGACTTATCGATCCAATTCTTTAAGCACTTCCCCACTAAGAACCTGAGTGGTTGTAAGGCACTAACTTTATTGTAATATATTTATCCTTAGGTTCTAATTAAACTACTCTTGCTTAGCCTAATCTCAAATACAAAATACTTATCAGAAAACTATTTATAATAACAAAAGTATTTGATCTGTGGAGAGTTTTCCCATCATGTCCGTCATAAAATCTTAACACCAACAAAGTATTTTGAACAGGGCCAGATATCCCATTTTGTTGGCCATAATTAGAACATCGCTGATTACGATTCTGCAAGAAAAAAGAAAAATTTTGAAAATCGAATTGAAAATGGCGGTCATTTATTATAATAATTTTTGAACACGTTATGTAGAGCTATGGTCACAGATTACAAAGTATCAAATGATGGATGTTTCGCAGGGACCGAAAATAACAGTTATTTTTTAAAATGCGAACAAAAAAATCTTCATGTTAGAGACATGGGACACTAATAGTGTCATATACCAATAGATTCGTACTGAGGAGCCCATTGAGGATATTGAGTGATCTTGAGAAAACACTCTCAGTTCCCATGTTAAGGATTATTTTTTAACGGAAAAAATAAACGTTGATTTTTAACTGTTAAAAATGATTTTTATTTTTTCCGTCAAAAATAAAAGTCTTTTTGCGATTTTTATTTTTTCCGTCAAAAATAAAAGTCTTTTTGGGACTTTTATTTTTTCCGTCAAAAATAACAGTCTTTTTGGGACTTTTATTTTTTCCGTCAAAAATAAAAGTCTTTTTGGGATTTTTATTTTTTCCGTCAGAAAATAAAAGTCCTTTTGGGATTTTTATTTTTTCCGTCAGGAAATAAAACTCTTTTTATGTAAAGAAGTTTATACAACTTGTAATCAGTTATAAAATTACAATTTATAAATCTCTGTCCTTATTACAATAAGTGTAAACATAAGTAATCAGGATCAAAGGTAAAAAATATTTGTTATAAATTTTTAAAAAATAGTCTAGTGTACCAAATCATGAATATAAATTAAGGAATCATTCCACTGACTATTGGGTCAAAGGTTATATAACTGGTACCAAACTCTATATGTTTATTTACGTAAAAAGACTTTTATTTTCTGACGGAAAAAATAAAAATCACAAAAAGACTTTTATTTTTGACGGAAAAAATAAAAGTCCCAAAAAGACTTTTATTTTTGACGGAAAAAATAAAAGTCCCAAAAAGACTGTTATTTTTGACGGAAAAAATAAAAGTCCCAAAAAGACTTTTATTTTTGACGGAAAAAATAAAAATCGCAAAAAGACTTTTATTTTTGACGGAAAAAATAAAAATCATTTTTAACAGTTAAAAATCAACGTTTATTTTTTCCGTTAAAAAATAATTAATTAAAGTGGATTTTTTTTATTTAGGTCACATAATAACAGTTATTTTTTACATGATTTGATATAAGTTATAACCGTTACGGTCCCTGATGTTTCGTTTAAGTCAAATAGATAGTTTTTAGTACGAAGATTTCACATCCAATATATAATCAAAAAATCAAAATTGGAGTGTACCGTTAAATAAGGGCTACCCCAAATAGTGGACCAAAATGTATCCTTTTTGGTTGAAGGTGAGACAAATTTATTTTTTTATTACATTTTTGCATGCAATTAATAACACTCGAAAATAACTCTGACATTTATGAACGGTCGCAATATTCCAGACAGAGAACATATCAAGGCGTCGATTGCCCAATACATTTTTAGTAAATACACTTTGTTTTAAGGTCGATCAATTAACTCATGTAAATAACATAAAACATATCGCGAAATTCTATATTAAAATGTGACTTCAGTGACTCACCGTAATAACGTGGTATCACATACATATTACAATAACAAACATGTGTTTTGTTGTTTTGGAGTGTTTACTTGCAAATTTCAATACCCAAAACAAAATTCATGAATTTCAAAATTTTGACTTTTGGCCAAATAGTGGTGACTACTTTCCTAAGGCCCTAATCATTTGCCTTATAATTCCTTCACTTCAATGTTAAAATGCAGGACATAATCAAATTAATAATAAATAAATATAAATTCAATTTGAATGTATTAAGCAATGAATTTGAAGTACATTTAAATAGATTTATTCTATTTATACTGCCCCTTTAAGGCAAATAAGAGTTTATTTTGCATTATTTTTCCTTTTTATTATTTAATAATATGAATATTTATTTAGTAATTATACAAAAACATTAATTTATAATATAAATTTAATATTAACGATCATTCTAAAAACCCCCAACACCAGCAAATCCAATTAGAATCACAGTGTTGTATAGTCATTGGTGTTATCAATTCCATGTGCTCATTACCACAACAATAAGAAGCAGCATAATAACAAACCGCTGTCAAATCTTTTTAACGCGTGTGCAATTTTTTCCCCGACATCTCCGGATTCGTGGCCAGGAAAAAGGGTTAAATATTGTTGGAATTTATCAATAAAATAAAACATGCCGACCATCGGAGTTAAACGTGATCTCTTATTCGAGGCATTGGGCAAAAAATACAGTAATGTCAAGAGAAATTAGTCGCTATTTATACGGAAAATTAATATGTGTGTGTGTCTGTGGTTTCTTTTATAGCCGATGATGAGTTTCAAACATTGTGTTTTGCCTTCGGTCTGGAACTGGATGAAGTCACAACAGAGAAACAAATGTTAACCCGTGAACAGGGTGATGATGCTGCTGGAGCTGCTGATGCTTCAGAGGAAATCATTTATCGTATTGATATTCCGGCAAATCGTTATGATTTGTTGTGTATGGAGGGTTTGGTCACCGGTCTGTTGGTGTTCCAGGGCAAGTAAGTTTTAAGAATGGGCGTTGTATTGAAAAACATTTTTAAATATCTCTCTTTTTTAATTGAAGAATCAAACCCCCACAATTTAAGATTGTGGAACCAGCTGATGGCAAACGTCAAGTTATGAAAATCTTACCCGAAACAGCCGAAATTCGTCCCTTTGCTGTGGCTGCAGTTTTGCGTAATATCACCCTGAATCAGGCTGCCTATGATTCCTTCATTGATCTGCAAGATAAATTGCATCAAAACATTTGCCGCAAACGTACCCTGGTGGCCATTGGCACTCACGATTTGGATACCATTCAAGGTCCATTTACATATGAGGCTCGTGCTCCCACAGATATCAGCTTTGTTCCCTTGAACCAAACCAAATCCATGAATGGCAATGAATTAATGGAATTCTATTCGACTCATGCTCAACTAAAACAATATTTACCCATTATACGTGACTCACCAGTATACCCAGTAATTTATGATGCCAATGGTGTGGTCTTGTCATTGCCACCCATCATTAACGGGGATCATTCAAAGATTTCATTGAAAACCAAGAATGTTTTCATTGAATGTACAGCCACAGATTTAACCAAAGCTAAGGTTGTGTTGGACACAATTGTCTGCATGTTTTCAGCACATTGCGACGAAAAATTCAGTGTTGAACCCTGTGATGTTATACAGCCGGATGGTACCACTGTAACCTATCCCGAATTGGAAGTACGTGAAGAAACCATTTCTGCCAAAAAGGCTAACTTAGCCATTGGTATTTCGGAGAGTCCCGAAAAAATTGCCGATATGTTGACACGCATGTATTTGGAAGCAGAATGTCAGGCTGATGGTGATCAAATTAAAGTTAAAATTCCACCCACTCGGCATGATGTCATTCATGCCTGTGATATTTATGAAGATGTGGCAATTGCCTTTGGCTATAATAACATTACGAAGTCGCTGCCTTCATTTATGCACATTGCCAAACAATACCCATTGAACAAATTAACCGAACAGCTCAGGGAACAAGTGGCTCAGGCTGGTTTTACTGAAGCCCTCACCTTTACATTGTGTTCTCGTGATGATATTGCACGTAAATTGAATAAATCTATTGATAATATACCAGCTGTGCATATTGCAAATCCCAAGACATTAGAATTCCAAGTTGTAAGAACAACTCTATTGCCAGGCCTACTAAAGACACTGGTGGCCAATCGTAAAATGCCACTGCCGTTGAAATTGTTTGAAATTAGTGATGTTGTGGTGGCCGATGATGATACTGAGGTTGGGGCACGCAACGAAAGGCGTTTGTGTGCTGTTAACTGCAATAAAACTGCAGGTTTTGAGGTCGTACATGGTCTCTTGGATCGTGTTATGCAATTGCTTGAGGTACCATGGAAATCATCGAACTCTAAAAATACTGGATATTATCTACAAGCTGCTGAGGGTAGGTTTTTGTAGTTGATTAGCAAAATAAATAAAATTAAATGTTAATAAATTATATTCTTCCTTGTAGATCCTTCATATTTCCCCGGCCGTTGTGCCCACATTATGTTGAACAATGTTGCCATTGGTAAAATTGGTGTACTTCATCCCACAGTTTTACAAGCCTTTGAATTGACCACACCATGTTCGGTGGTAGAATTCAACATTGAACCATTTGTGTAAACATATGGAGTAGTAATTCTTGGAAATGCATTTTTAGCTTGGTGTGGCGTAAAGAGATATTTAAGCAAATGAAATGATCAATTTTACAATGATTAAAATAAACAATATAAAAAAATATTCTTGAAACTTGAAACAACTTAATTTTTTTATTAATTTATTATGACATTCACGATGTAAAAGAAAAATAGTAATTTTAATAAAGTTCTAAGCATTAAATCATATACCTAAAAGTGAACCAATATTTACTATTTTTTCTTAGGAGGTTTTCTTACAAAATGAGAGCCGAAAATCTTAAGATTCGTATGGAAAACCTGCCCAAAATTCTTTTATTGTGGCCAAATCTTTAATGCTTTTAAAATTGCAATATTATTGACTCCACCTTTTTTCTTCAGGGTCTCTTTTGAGAAGTTTTTCCCATGCTGCCTTACCTTTCTCATTCAAAAGGGATCCCTTCAGCTGTAATTGGCCCAACTTGTGAACTTTCAGATAAACTTGATACTATTCTTATAATTATAAAGGAGTTCGTGACAGAGCGGTGTGCTGATGAAGTCAAACCAGCAGCAGTCGTAAAGGATAGACATAATCAGCCTTATTCTGGATATTATTCTTTAAAAGATTTCCAAGGGCCTCGGTCTTGTGCGCATCTCCTCCAATTTGAAAGCCCATGTTCCGAGATGGTGTCCTCTACTTGGTCTTTCCACCTAATTCGTGACCTTCCCTTTTATATGCCTTTTGAGCTGGGACATGTCCACGTATAGATTGTAAAGCTCGTGGTTCATTCGACGCCGATATTCACCGTGGAACTTTTCCAGGATCTGGTGCAAAGTGAACATCTGGTCAATGGTGGATTTGCCAGGCCTGAAGCCGCATTGGTATGGTCCAACAATGTCATTGACCATTGGCTTCAGTCGTTCACGCATGCTCCTGACCAGCATGGCTGGTAATCCATCGCCACCTGCTATTTTATTATTCTTCAACCGATTGATTGCTCTTCTGACTTCATCTTGGCTAGGAGGTATACACTCTATACCGTCATCTCATATTGGTTCTGGGGCATCTTCATCACCGACACTATTTAATACCAGAAACTTTTCAAAATGCTGCAGATCCTCAACACGCTGTCTGTACCTGTCACCTGGTTACCTTCTTCATCACTACATGTTAAATATTTCAAGAGTCCGCTGTAAAATTGCTTTGTAATTAAAAGAAAATAAATTAAAGTTTGAAAATATGGCATGTGAGATAGCTGTTTATTGTTTTGATGCAATTTGGTGCAACAACTACAACCAGATTACAAATAAAAGAACATTTGTTTATTTGCAAAAACCGCATTGAACTATCTAAGAAGACACAACGAATTATTCATTATTTATTTCCCTAATTTCTTATTTTTTGTAGCTTTATTAATATTAATTCATAATTTTAATTTAGTTTTCCACTCATCAGGGACTATGTTGTTTTCCCCGTAATTTTAATATTTTTTTTTTTTTTATTTCTGGAGAGACAGATTTTCTCAAAAAATGTCTTTTTTCGTATCAAAATTGCATTAAACTCGGCATAAATATTCCTTATTACCTTTATACATTCCGTGACAATATTTGGTTGAGCGTGCATCGTTACCAATAGGATTTCCAATGGAATTTTATTTGTTGTTTTTGAGTTAAAAATATTCATACAACCATTTATAATATTCAAAATAATCATAAAATATGTATTGTGTAGATATTTTTCATAAAAATATTTATTACTTATGTTTTTGTAGTCGGCTCCCTTTAAATTTATTAGCGAAAAATTTCTCACAAAATCTCATCAAATTCTCCCCCACTCCCTGTAATCCAGAATACGTAATTTTGCCACTAAGCTGATTTTTTCGCTTTCGAACTAGATTCAGAATAAGGGCAAAGTGAAAATGCGAAAAAATCGCTTTAGGGGAGAGTTCTGGTTCAGAATAACTTTAAAGGGAAGAGCGAACAAATTCACGGTGAATTAATGTGTCCAGAATAAGGCTGAGTAACTAAGATCAACAACCTAAGCCCAAAAAACTTGTTGAGGCGAATGTTATTGGACTTTTTTCATTATCCGCAACCTGTGGACGAGTCAACATTCTGCTCCCCGGTAAATAAACTTACCTCCTTTCTTTCAGCTCTCACCAATAAAACAATAATTCTCTTGTTCTTCTTCTTTGTATGTTGTTATTATTTAGCATTTGTGTTTTTTTGTTTTCATTTTTTTTCTTTACTCATTTTTATCTTGTTTAATATTATTACTAGTGGATTTGTTTTTAATAATATTTATTTTCTTTTTCGGTTTTTCATTAGTTATGGTTTTAATTTTCTTTTATATTTCGTCTTAGTATGTATATAGAGAAATTGCAATTTAACTTTGTTGTGGAGTAATAATTAAATGCAATTTCAAAATGTTTTTTTTTTTTTTTTTTTTAGATTAATTATTTTGCATTATTTCTATAAGAATGCATTTAGATTCGAATACGGTGTTTTTTGTTTCATTTTATTTTTTTGCAGTTTTCACATTTATATTTTTTCTTCTTCTTCTTTTTCTTCTTTATGCATAGTTATATTAATAATAATAATTAATGTATTATTAATACAATAATATTTGTTGTTGTTCGGTTTGGTTTTGTTTCAATGTAATATATTAATAATATATACGTTTTTAGGTTTGGTTTTTTTTTATCGTTTTAATAATAATAATAATCATAATATAATAATAAATAGTATTTTTAATAATATTTGTATATGCATTGTAATATTGTTTTTTTATTACTTTTTCAATAACTCTTGCATATATTATCTGCCCGTAGTTTTTTACGAGTAATGACATTTTATTAAGCAAATGCTTTTTTTTTTATACAAGTCTGTGATTTTTTCCCCACTTTCCACCCATTTTATCTCGGGGTTTCCTCTTCTTGTCATAAAGTAATAATAGTGGTTTTCCGTATGGCCTTTCTCTGAGGATTGTAATCTTAATTATTCATTTTTTTTATTTTTGTATACTTCCAATACCTACTAATTTCTAATTGTTATCATTTCATTTTTTTTCAATATATAATTTTAAGTAATAAAAAACATGAATATGAACGTTACATAGTTAGTTAGATTTTGGTTTTGAATTTTTTTTTTATTGGAATGAGAATGAATGAGAGTGTATTTATTTTTTGTTTCTACCCAGCAAACATTATGGCGCCATTAATAGAGGATGAGTAACTAATTTATTATATTTTAATTTTTGGTTTTTGAATATTTCTTTTTCAATTCAAAATTTTATAAATATTTTTTTATATTCTTGTTAATAATAAGATTTTATAAAGTCAATTGTTACTGTTGTTGTTTTTTTTTCAGAATTTAATGTAATTTTAGCGATTTTTTCTTTCATTTATAAACATTGCTTGCAGCTTTTAGAGTATAATTGTTAAATGGTATTTTAATTAATTATATTAAAAAGAAAAAAGGTGATCGTAAATAAAGACATGAATAAACAATTTATTTTTAAATATTTTAAATAGCTATTTTTAAAGAGTATGTATATAAAATAATAACAATTTTTATATATGAGTTGCATGTAAGATATATGTAATAGAAAATTATTAAATAGGAAAAGAATATTTAATAACAATAAATAATATTCAAGATTTATCAAAATTTTAGGTATCAAGCACCATCCATTAGAACAAAATAAAATTATTGGAACTCTAAGGTGTAACTTAAAAATATAAAGTCTCAACATCCATAAGTTAATTGTTTTTAGACATATTCAGCTCAGATTACTCAAATTTATTACATAAAATAATGAAAAAAGTGAAAAAAATTAATTAAAAAAAAAATATTATATCACATAATAAAATAAGTGAAAGCATAACCAGAATACCGGACAAAATTTCAAATATGTTTTTATTAGAGATTTTAGCTAGAAAATAGTTTCATGTTAATAACCCACTATATTCAAAATAAGAAATAACAGGAAAACTGTAAGCGTGAGCAACTCGAGATGTAAGGAGTCAGAATGAAGTCCGGAAATTTTACCAACGACCAAACCGAAGGCTTTGGCGCAGGCACATCCTCCTGTAGAGTTAAAGAAGGAAGCCTGGTGACATACAGACAGCGTTTTGAGCATCTGGAAGGAGCATTTTGAAAAGCTTCTGGTATCAAATAGTGGCGGTGAAGAAGATACCTCAAAACCAATAAGAGATGACGGTATGCCTAGCCAAGATGAGGTCAGAATAGCAATCAATCGGCTGAAGAATAATAAAGCAGCAGGTGCCGATGGGTTACCTGCCGAACTATTCAAGACTTGTGGTCAGATGCTGGTCAGGAGCATGCACCAGCCAATTAGTACAATTTGGCTAGAGGAATGCATGCCCCATGATTGGAACCCCAGCATCCTGTGTCCCGTGTACAAAAATGGAGAGAAGACGATATGTGCCAACTATAAAGAAATAAGTCTCCTTACCATCGCATATAAAGTGCTATCACACAGCACACTGTGAACGACTGAATCCAATGAATGGTCAATGACATTATTGGACCATACCAATGCGGCTTCAGGACTGGCAAATTCACCATAGACCAGATTTTCACTCAAGTTGGCAGTGTGTCGTGTGACCTTTGTAACATCCAGCTGGAGAAGGTCATACGAGAGGCAAAAGGTGAACAAAAAAGGCACTCTGTACACCAAACAACACATGTTAACTCGCCTATGCCGATGACATCGACATAATGGGTCGAACATTGCGAGCGGTAACAGCCACCTTTGAACAAATTGAGAAGGAGTCTGCCAAAGTGGGTCTGGCAGTAAATGGCGAAAAGACCAAGCTGATGGTAACAACGTGCAAGACGTCCAGCAGACTCGGACCAACTGTGGAACTTGAAAACTACATCTTCGAAGTATTGAGCGAATTTATATACCTAGGTACCGCCATTAATAAAACTAAAGACATAAGTTTTGAAATTCTGAGAAGGCCACCTCTCGCTAGACCAAACTCA